GTTACCATGATTCTAAACAATAATTATTTGAAATAAAAACAAGGCCAATTGGACCCCGGACGCGGTACTTAGAGCGTGAATATTTTGAATCTCTCTTTAATGCATCAACTATACATTACAATTGTTCAAACGTTTCGACCCCCTGTGGATCCTTCTCAATAAAACTCGAAAGAATTAATTAAAATAAAGAGACGGTAAAACTAACTAAACGCAAAGCGACGCAATGTGAGTATAAATGGATAACCAGGCGCAACAAATTATACATTATACAACACGCTTACAATGTATGTACATAGTATAGATTACGATCTTATAATCCATCTTACCACATAGATAATTCTCTTTAAAACTAGTGTGACGGTCTTTTATCGAATAAGAGGAGACGCCAAAGCAGATGCATGTCGGTTGTTTCGAGTCCCAGTATGTATGGAGTCAATGGGGCGATGGATTATGCAATACAGTGATCGAGAAACCGGTACAAGTATATAGTCAAGCACTGCTGGAAAGGAGGAAAATTATTTAGTTTTACCGTCTCTTTAGGTTTAATTAATTCTTTCGAGTTTCATTGAGAAGGATCCGAAGGGGATCGAAACGTTTGAACAATTGTAATGTATAGTTGATGCATTAAAGAAATATTCAAAATATTCACGCTCTAAGTACCGCGTCCGGGCTCCAATTGGCCTTGTTTTTATTATTTATTGATTTTATCTCTTGAGCCCTTTTAATTATTTAAATTTTAACTTGTCTTACTCATTTTAATAATTATTTGACTTTTGATTGGTACCACAAACCTACCTTTTCAGGGAGATATTTACATTTCATATCGAATCACCCTCTTTGTCAAAAGAGAGGTACTGTCATCGGTTCAATTGACAGAGTGATTCGGTTGTCACATCTCATGTCCCACCTAAAAAATTTTGAATTGGTCATTGGGATTTTGATGGATAATGATTACCTTAAGTTTGTTTTCGATGTATTACGTGAACGCCTTAAAACTCTTTCACAATGTTGGCTCTACTTTTGACAACAATAAACATAGAGAAGAACCTGAGAGAGTCTCTTATTTTGCAATACTTTTCGTTCCTTTAATTTCTGAACAATTCAAAAACATAACCAAAGACTTAAATGTGAAACTCTCATACCGCAGTCTTAATAAAATAAATAAGTTTATTAAAGTACATAAAGACTTCTGCCCACAATCGGCTCGTAACAATGTTGTCTATAAAATTAACTGTGATAATTGTGATGCGTCTTACGTTGGATAGACAAAAAGACAACTACATACTAGAATAGCGGAACATAGAAATCATATCCGTAGAAATACGACCAGTCATTCTGTTATAACCGATCACAGAATCACTTTTAATCCTGATTTCAAGTAGGACGAAGTAGAAATATTAGATAACGAACCACATTTACATAAGCGATTGATTTCCGAAGTTCTACACATAAAGAGACAAAGAGATAGTTTAAATGTACAAACAGACACCGAATGTCTTCCGGAGACATATTTGACGGTACTCGACAAACTCTGAAAAATTTGATTTTTCGTCATATTATATTTTATTCGCATATTGTAATTTAGCGATTGATTTCCAAAGTTCTAGACATAAAAAGACGAAAAGATAGTTTAAATCTATAAATAGACACCGCATATCTTCCGGAGATGTATTTGACGGTACTCGACAAACTCTTCAAAAGTTGATTTTTCGTCGTATTATATTTTATTCGCATATTGTAATTTATTTTATTCGTATGTTGTTCATTTTATTTTATTTATATTATTTCTTCAAATTTATTTTTTTATTTTACCATATCTGACATCTTTTATATTCATTACTTATTATACATATAGGGGAAAGTTGGATAAAACCGGGTAGGCGGGTCAAACCGGGTAGGCGGGTCAAATCGAGTACCCCTGATTTTTCGTAGTAAATGCTGCTTTCTATGGCTAACTTATGTTATTAGTTGTACATTGGAGTCATCATTATTTTAAAACAAACCGTGCCCCTGTTCACACGATATTTCTTTTTTAATAAAAGTTCAAAGTTTTTGGCCCCAAAAAGATCGATACCGAGGCAAGAATCGAGTCGTCGTGCACTTTTTCTATATAGAGCATCTGTTTCGGTAAGTGCAGCATTGCATTCTGTACATATTAGAGAGTATATCATATTAGTTTTGATCGGCACTTTGTACGCCGCAATATACAACCGTCGTATTTGTTACTTTCCTTGTGTTGGAGCAAAACCGGGTATTTACGCATCTTATATAATGAAAAGAGGAAGAACTGTTATCTTGACTTTGTGTCCCTACAAAAAGCAGTTGGAAATGAAAACTAACGATCAGAAAAAGAAGCCACTAAAGAAAAGCTTTTTGAGATCTCCAAAGTTAAAAAGTTAAATAAGGAAGTCCTGCAGCAATGTCGAACAAGAGGATATCTTTATTTGTGATTTTTGTCAATAGAATACATCTTTATATTGCATTTTGATTAAAATAAATCTAGATTTTGTAATTACACGATGTTTTGCATATTTTCAAATGGGTACCAGGTTTGACCCAGTAGGACAAAACCGGGTACTTTGACCTTTCTACAAAATCTTGTTATTCTTGGTATCAAATTTTTTTTTTTTCAGCAACTAGCCTTATTTTCTCATAATTTATGGTTCACTAAAGACTACTAACGGACGGCAAAATTTTTTTTACTCAGATTTTTTGTAGGAAGACAAATCCAAAAAAGTACCCGGTTTTACCATACTTTCCCTTATTTATGTTTCATCGTAATTTATAAGGTTATTTCTTATTTTAATTTTACCGTACTTGACAATTTTTAAATGTAACTGTTTGTGCCGTTGTTTACCTTTATCGACAACGTTTGTATATTGTGTTTTGTTTTATTTGATTTATTATTTCTCCACATATATTTATTTATGCTAACCGACCTGACAATTTCCATAAATTCATCATTTATAAATTTATATTTTATCTGTACTCACATTATTAGCTCTTTTTTAAATTTTACCGTACTTGACAACTTTGTTTATTTTTACCGACAACCGACTTTGTATATTGTATATTATTTATTTTTATATTGTTTCTCTATATTTATGTTATATTATCGGACCTGACAATTTTTTCAAATTTATTAATTATGATGCAATTATCTCATGTTATGGCATTTATATTATTATGGTATTTTTAAATTTCACTGTACTTGACAACATTCTTAAATTTAATTGTTTGCGCTGTTGTTTATCTGTATCAGCAACGTTTGTTTATTGTCTCACCTTTTTCGTTTAATGATAATTTATGCTCATTGTTCCGGCGATAGTCAGTGAGTCAAGTTCTCTCCGATTTTATGTCTCCATTATTTATTGTCGACCTGAGCGTTACTTTTCTTACATGTAAGTTTTACAATTGTAATTTCCGACGCCCTTCTCTCGCGTCATTTTCCGACATAAACCGCTCCGCTTATTTTATAGACATAATTAGAATTAACGTACCGTCATGTTGAATTTAATTTCCGACCAAAGAATCGAGGATTTGTTCAGCCTCGTAACGACAGGGATGCCTTGGAGAATACTTTTTTGCTTTTACTGTGATGACATAAAAGATCTGCGCTACCTACCACCAGTTTTATTGTTTGTAACTATGCGCCTGCTAACCGTCTAAGACTCAATTACATGCTTATACTTAATTTGAATTTTATTAATTCCGTGCGCTGGAGATGGCCAAAAAAGCGCTGAAACGTCCGCCTCTCGCGAGTTTAAATTTTAGTGAAATTGTCTTTTATAATAAATATTTGCGCCCTTGATACCGCGCTTGGTTCGTTTTGCCATTTTATGTCGACTTTACTGATTTTACCAATTATTTTATTAAATTCATCTTTTATGCCGTATATAGTTCTCGCACTTTTTTTCACGTGTGCGCCGCATTATGAGTGAAGTTTAGGGATGAAGCATACAGCAAATTTAGCGCTAAAATTGAAAAGATGTCAATCGTTGTCTCCTTAACACTCCAAAAACCAAAGACGTCGATTCACGGAGACGTCTCCGGTATGCAATGAACGGCAGATCATGCTTAGCTGTTGCCAAAGTTCTGCTAACATAATATGCAACACACATTTGTGATACATGCTCTTGGCAGATTTGACTATCTGGATATATACATTTGAACTTCGTAATAGCTAATTTCAAAATAGCAAAACTCTTCCATACGTGCTAGACGTAAATAGCGTGAGTAGTTAATAATAATGATACGAAAGAATATGTAAGAAAGCTTTTCGCAAATCGGCAGGTAGACTTGCAAAATAAAACAAGAAACAGAAATAACATTTTATTATACACAAAAGTTACTTACATATATACAATATACACTATTTTACGACGTAATTGCCATTCGAATTGAGACAATTGTCGTAGCGCGGCACAATTTTTTGTATGCCCTTATTAAAATACGGTGCCGGCAAACTGGAATCGCAGCCAACTCGTAGCACTGTTCATCAACTCCTTGCTTTCGAATTATTGCGCTCCTATACAGCCATACTTTCATATGTGTGAACAGATAAAAGTCACTCGAAAAATCCGGGCTATAAGGTGGTCAAAAAATCCTCATCGAAACTTATGGAATATAATGAGAATTCGATCTTGCATTGAGTGACTTTCATACGCATGAAAATGTGGCAAAAAACGTAGCGAAGGCAACGAAAAACTGATAAGCAGTGCTAAGAGTTGGCTGAGATTCCAGTTTGACGGCATCGTACTTTGATGAGGCCATACAAAAAAATGTGCCGCACTATGACAAATACCTCAATTCGAATGGCGATTATATCGAAAAATAGTGTATATACATATACATATACATATAATAGTGTATATAAATAACTTTTATGTATAATGAAATGTTCTTCCTGTTTCTTATTTTATTTTGCAAACCTACTGGAGATTGATTTCCGAATAACCCTCGTATTTATGCATTCTTATACTAACAATAAGTTTACTTACTAAATTTGGTGATACTTGAACACTTTTTTTCCCCAGGAATTGTAACAAACGCAAGTCAACTCCAGTATCCCATCGTGTTATATTGGCTTCAGCTTGTTTCATTCCCGTCCATCTTCCAGTGAGATATGATGTGGCTAGGTGTCGTGACACGTCTACCGTAGATTCCTTTAAAGCCTTATTCAATAATGCGGTATGGCTTTCGATAATATTTTTAACAATTTCTTGAGAAAGAACATTGGCGCTTATTAGCTTCTCCACATAACGATCTGGTATAGATCTGAATCAAGAAAAAAATTTTTCTACGGTATTGATTATTCATATTTCATATTAAAAATGTATACACTCGAACAATTAAGTTTCGAGACTCATTTCGCATTTCCGAACGTGTGATCCATTTGTGCTGCCATTTTTGGGGGTTATTCACAACTCAATACTCAACACGTGATGCAAGTTTTAAATTATTTGGTTCAATAATGAGATACGCGAAGTCGGGTTAAAAAATTTTGTTTAAAAATCGGTGTAAGGGAATGAACGCTTGACAACGCGCCAACATTAAATTTTGCGTTAAATTAGAGAAATCGCCAACAGAAACGTTACAAATGTTCAATGTAGTTACCACCTAACTCGACACACTTATGGCGAATTCGATTGGATGCACTAGTGCGCACTGAGTGCGCATTCTTTTAGTATTTAGTATTCGGTTGGCTTGCCCTGTACTGGTTCAGAATTTTATGTGTATTCGGTTGATAGTGCACTAAAAATATGTGCTAATGAAAACGTGTTCGACTGAACTGCATTATCCCAGTGCAGTGTTATTTGTACGTTCGATTGAAATACATTGCACTAGTGCAGAAGGCACTGAATTGCACTGAGATTTTCGACAGTACAGTTCAATGCAAATTTGAGTATTCCAATGAAAAAATATGGCAGCTAAAATATTATTATTAGATGAACTGTTAAATAATTCGAGCAGTTCTAGCGATGTCAACGTCTCCGCCATTGCTCAAAGCAACTCTGATAATCCTCTGAAGCAAGCCCTTTCAAAATTTGATTCACGTTTTTTTTATATTATCTGTATCTTCGAAACGTTACTCTTATGCTGACTTTCCGTAGGCTTGTTGATCATTTGTAACGTTTCTATTGGCATCTTCTCTAATTTAACGTAGAATGTAATGTTTGCGCGTTGTCAAGCGTTCCTTCCATTACATCGATTTTTAAATAAATTTTTGTAACACAAGTTCGCGTGACTGTATCTCATTAACTATTGAACCAAATAATTTAAAACTTGCATTACGTGTTGAGTATTGAGTTGTGACTAACCCCCTAAAATGGCAGCACAAACGGATCAAACGTTCGGAAATGCGAAGCAAGTCTCGAAACTTAATTGTTCGACGGTGTATATCATATTAAAACATTTGTAAAACGTAAAAATTTTAATCCTCTCTCTCTCTCACACACACGCACGCACGCACGCACATACACATATACGCACTCTCCCATTTTTTTTAATATACGAAATAAAATTTTGTATTTTTATATTTATGTATTAGTAGTCGCTATTGAGACGGATTCGATAATATATATGACGCAAGATTATTAGAATTACTTCAAATTATAAAAAAGCGTACATATTATATATGTATAATGTATGTATATTATATATATGCGTAGATAGTTATTATTTTCCCAAATTTTAAAATTAATGTTTTCAAAAAATTAGCATTATATGAAACAATTTTCTTTTATATTTTTGACTTATTTTTACAAGAAATCACCACGGTTGTATTATATTTTCTAAGCTCTTGTAACAACACTCTAAGCATTTATGCTACAATTTATTCAGATTTATTATTTCATTAAAAAAATTATGTATCTAAAACTGCAGTATAATATGATATAGTTATTTAGACTGTTTTCAGTTGTTCACTGCGAGTATTATCAGTACTGCGAGTAGCGTTCCAGAATAGATAGCAATGCATTGAAAGTACTGCTAGAAATTTAAAACGTCATTGATTTTAACGTGTTTCCTGTTACAGCTCCTGCGATTGGCGAGGTAAAGCACTCGCAATAATAAAGATGGCTGTATTCGCGCTATGCCCGCCATTGTATTAACATGTACGCAAATGATTTCTAAAGTTTTGCTGGTTATATCAGTCTATTCCTGGACTACTGCTTTGAGTCAAAGTATCAGAGTGCTCTTTTAATTTGCTGCCTCATAGACAACAATTTCTAAAAACTATTGCAAGCTCTCTTAATTATTCGCGTACTTATTGCATATTATTGATTGGCCACATTGAAACAGAGCCCATTGTGTTTCATCATTCTTTGTTACCTATTGTAAAATTTTTTATGCACTTGCACGCTTTTATTCATTAGCCGTATGTACATTTCATTACGTCCAACTGCCCTGAAAATTCCAGTAATGCAGAAATGCCATAAACTTTGGAAGGCGTCGGATAATCAATCTATAAAGGAACTAATCTATCTATGTCCGTCAAGGTATTGGGGATTCGCTTCTTGACAAGTCGGGTTTTTCTCAGAAAAATGCTTTCTACATAAAAGTTGACAATGATTTTGATACTGGAGAAGCTTTCTCTCTTCTTTCTCTCCATCATCTTTCAATCCTAATGAAAAAAAAACATTCAGCAAAGTAAGCTTTATAAAAAAGTTACATCGATTTCATTACGTCGTTTGTTAAATCCTACTAATTTACCTTTGCACGAAAAATCTATCGCAACTAAATGGTTGCAGAGTGGGACATATCTCTGCCCTCGAGTTGGTGGCTAACAAGGTTTAGAACATTTCAAACGGTGAGATAAATCCCTTTTCGATCACAGAACAAATAATTATCTTATCGGATAGTATTATCAATAATTGTTATTCTAATTCTAATCAAGAAGGTTCTTTTAATGTCCATGTACAGTATATTGACAATCCAAAATCTTTGCTGCATCGGTACTGTTGGAAAACTGATGAATGTCATCATCAAAAATGATGTGGAAGTTTGCAAAGCTGGACATGTCAAAGTCTTCGTCTTTCTCAAAACAAGAAATGTGGCCAACATTCTTATTTCCATCCTCTTAAATAGTAAGTCTCTTAAATATGCCAATTATAAAGGAGCTTATCCTGCTATTTTTTTCTTTCTGCCTGAATTTTGCAATCCAGGTCGTATGCCACTCATAGAAACATTTTTGTCATTGAAGTGAGGGATATTATTAAGAGAATTCGTTTCTTTCCTAGCATTTCCTCATCTGAAGAGTTTCTTTTTCTTTCTTATTGTTTCCTTTTATCAGATTACCAAAGGTTTCCTCTCACGATCAGTATTTATTCTCATAGACAATCACCTCGCTCTTATGCAGATATCGTTGCAGGAGGCTCTTTTTCTGACAATATCTCTCCTCCCTCTAAACACGTATCGTTTTTTCCTACCAGAAAAGAACCGTCTCGTTATGATTCCTTGAATGCACTATACTAATCTCATTGCTTTATGTCCCTCTTCGTTGAATGCTTTGCCCCGGTCGTCCACTCTATCTATCTGTCAAACAAACTTCAATGTCTACTCCTTTCATTTTCTGATTCATTTTTGAGTTCACTACGACCCCGCTCCCCTTCTTACATGAATTCTATCATAAATTCTAACTCATAAAATAACGGATTAAAAATTCTTCAATAAAACTATTATAGTTTGTTCAATAAAAAAGATACACTAAGATTAGCTGATGATTGTAATGTGATTGCACGCTCGGAAACCTGATTCGGTCCTCAATGTACTTTTTCTTTAAAAAAAACTTTAATATTTTACACTCAGGTGATCATATAATAAATCAAGAGAATTAATGATTGCGATTTAAAGTGGGTTCCCTATTTTATTGTTAGTTCTTCATATACTCACAAGTAGATTCAGTTAAATTTGTAGCTTTCTCCATCCCTTTTGCTTCTGGATTTCTTTTCTTCATTTCCATGTATCCAGTCCATTCCAACTATCAGTCATCCAATTCATTTAAATCCCTTGCTATGCGAAAAATTCTTTGAATCTTTTGTTGAATTTTGAAACGCAGTTGAGATCGGGGATTTCAATGTTCATATCTCTGAGTGAAACTGTCTTTTTAACAATGTAGACGTCTCCTTTGTTACAGTCGACTCCACGATTCCTTCCTTCCGCGAAATTGCGGCAATGATCAATGTCAATTGATGATAAAAATGAATCGTTCAATAAACAGAGCATCTTACGCCACACATTTCCTTAAACACTTAATCATTTGCCAATAACTATATCTACAAGTAATCGTGAGAAAGATGTAAGAAGATCGGTGACGAAACCACGCCAATTTCCTCGAAATAAATAAAAATCAGTAAATTCCTTATTATAGAATTTTACGGTGAAAGAATAAAGAGATACCGAGAAAATAATAAAATTCTTCTAATGAAATATCTAACAAATACAACTGCATCAATAATGATAAAATTCTCTTAACGAGATATTCAATAAATACAGCTGCATCAATACCGATAAAAGTAATCATAAGGAAATAAGATGTGATCTTTTCTAATTAGATCACATGCGCGAGAGTCCGCCGAGAAAGGTAATGTTCAAGGTAATGTTCAAGGGACCTTTGAACTTATATCGAGCTCACCAATCAACGATCACCACGGGTAAAGACAGGAAAAGTAGGAGAAACATCCCGCCGAATGAAGACACTGACACAATTTTAATTCGTTAAATTTTAGAAGGATCCCCACTTCTAAAATTAGAGTACACTCTCGAAAAGGAATTATAAAAAAAGGAACTCGTAAGTCTCGAACACTTATTATTCAGTTCCGCACGGTATTGTCAATCGGTCTACTTGTGTTTAGACATCTTAGTTCGTGAGGGACTTCATTTCTGCAAATCAGTGTCCTCACTTTGCATCATTTTTGAATCAACCCGCAGCTGTGAAACAAACCACCACAATACGTCATCCAATTGAGGATCATCAAAAAAATAATTGTCATCTCCTCTCACTTTTCAAATTACTAGTAAAAAAGTAAATCACTATAAACCAATTTTTATTATACGCGTAAAATTTCGGTCGAGATAGAAATTCTATCACATTATTACTTTTGTACTGGTTCCATAGTGGAAACCATTTCAGCCAAACGATTAAATTCTCGAACCAGGCGTATAAACACGTGTCTATCGCAAGACTCAGAAAGCGTTGGCTCTGGCTCCCGCGGATCGCAAATTGCGAATTAATAACATAATTAATAAATATTAATAGAATTATATATATAATAATA